TCCTGGAGCCCATGGGAGCCCCTCCCTGAGCCCACAGGACACCCCCCCTCCCTGAGCCCATGAGACCCCCACCCCGGAGCCCACGAGACCCCCTCCCTGAGCCCACAGGACCCCCTCTCTGAGCCCTTTGGAGCCCCTCCCTGAGCCCACGGGAGCCCCTCCCTGAGCCCACGGGAGCCCCTCCCGGATCCCGGAGCAGAGCTGTGCGACGGGACCTCTGAGGAGGTTTTCTGGGAAGAGCCGGGGTTTGTCTGTGTCTGTTCCAGACAAGATGTGGAGATCGGAGCACGGAACCCCCCGGGCCCTTCACCTTGGTCTGGTACCAGGACTCGGCCTCGGCGCGGCTGCGGTTGGCGATGTCCTCGTACTGCGCCTTCACCTCGGAGATGATGCTGTCCAGGTCCAGGTTCCGGTTGTTGTCCATGGTCAGCACCACCGAGGTGTCCGAGATCTGGGTCTGCATCTGGGACAGCTCCTGCAAAGCACACAGGGTGAGGTGATTCCCTGGGAGAGGCCTTTCCCTGCTCCCGGGCGAGGGAGAGGCGGCTGCAGATTGGGATCTGAACGGCTCAGGTGTGGCCCCAGAGAGGGAAAGGATTTGGCATCTCCTGGGGGGGGAGAAATCTGGGGCTTTCGGGGGAATGGGGGTAGAGGAGCTCTTAACGAGGATTGGGTGGTTTTGGACTCACGGCCTCGTAGAGGGTTCTCAGGAAATTAATCTCTTCAGTCAGAGCGTCTGCCTTGGCCTGTAGTTCCACCTTGTTCATGTAGGAACCATCCACATCCTGGGGACAAGAGAGATTTTTGGGTGGGTTAAACCCCTGCCAGCAAACCAGGAATGGGAACGCTCCAGGGAAGAACCACAGAAAGAAAAATAAAGGGGGCTGGAATACGAATGGATGGATCTATGGATGGGTTTGTGCCTGGGAGGGGAGTTAGAGCTCCGCAGGCAGCCGTCCCTCGGTGTTCTGGAACGTTCCCTCACCTTCTTGAGCGTCACAAACTCGTTCTCGGCGATGGTCCTCCTGTTGATCTCATCCTCGTACCTGGGGCAGGGAGGCAGGAGGAGCATTTGTTTGGGCAGGAGCAGAGGGAGGTGATTTTACCTCGCAGGAATGAACTTCCTCAAGAGCGTTTTGCATACGAGGCTCTTTTCTCCCGCAGCAGAGGCCACGAAGCCGAGCCAGTTAAAACAAGACATCAAACCCATCCGAGCAGATCCCTCATTTTCCACTCGTTTCTGGCCATTACTCATCCTCTCCCGCTGCTGATTTCAGCAAACCAAACGTGCTGCCCTGAAACTCCCCGTGCAGTTGTTTTCTCTCTCAGGAGGCAATTTAGTTAATAAGCCTTTGATCCTGCCCTAAATTACCCCCCGAACGTTCGGTGTGCTTGGATGAGTTACCCCGTTACTGGGAAAACTTCTCCTTGAGAAAATTCCTCCTGGAGAAAAAAAAAAAACACCCCATCCCAGCTTTCCCTGCCGGGAATCCCTGGGTTTCCCTGGGGCTCCCCTGGATCCCCCCAGCTGGTTTGAGGGTGGGGAAAAGGCTGCACCCCCCAGCACCCCCAGGACTTACTTCTTCTTGAAGTCCTCCACCAGGTACTGGGTGTTGAGCAGCTCCCCCTCCAGCCGCCCCTTGTCGCTCAGGAGGCTGTTGAGCTGCACCCTCAGGTTGTTGATGTAGGTCTCGAAAAGCGGCTCCAGGTTGTTCCTCACGGTTTTCATGCCCTGCTCCTGCAGGAGGCTCCACTTGGTCTCCAGCACCTTGTTCTGCTGCTCCAGGAACCGCACCTGGAAAAGAGAATTTGGGAAGGGGGGGAGGTTGTGGGGAGCTCAGAACCAGCTCAGGGTTCTGAAGGGGGGGAGGTTGTGGGGAGCTCAGAACCAGCTCGGGGCTGTGTGTGTGTGTGGGGGGATTCTCCTTCCAGCTGCTTTTCACGGCCCAATTCTCACCTGGCAGGGGCACAGTTTGCTGTTTGGGGGCAGGGACCCTGCTCAGTGCCACAAACTCTGATTTTCTTGCCTGCCCTTCGTTGCTTTGCTAAATTGTGGATTTTGTGTGAGGAGTGTGTGCAAAATCAGATAAGGAGCAAAGCAGGGCTTGTTCTTTTATTAAAATAACGTTATTAAGGTGTGTTTTCTCCTTGCCTCTGTTAGAGTTCCCCCACTCCACTAAAGCTCCAAAATATTGCAGCGTTTTCCTCCGAGCCAAAGAGGAGCTGCTTGAGCAGAGCAGAAAGGGAGCAGATTTCTGGTTCATCAGTGAAATGGGCAGTGCTGGATCAGACTTTGAGCTGTTTTGAGCTAAACCCCAAACATTCTGGTGCTGTTGCAGTGACGGATTTAAATGCCCTTGAGGGAATTCAAGCAAGAGGAGCTGCTTCTCCCCTTTTGCCAATTTTTGGGGTCATTTTAGGTGGGTTTCTTGCATCTCACTTTAATCAGCTGAAAATCTGTTCTCAGGGCTCAGAGGACAGAGGCAAAAGTCTCCAGAAGGGCGGGATTGTCTTCTGGAGCTTCCCTTCCCCGCTGCCCGTGGGACGTCGAGCAGCGGACGAAGAGGATTAAAGGAGGTGATTAATTCCTGGCAAGCACGGGGTGACAGGTGCCATTCCCTGGAGTTCCCAGGGCATCTTCCAGCCTCATCCCTCGCTTCTATTCCTCCTTGATGTGCTTGTCAAGCACGAAAAATTCCCCCCCCCCGGGGCAGGATATTTCGGGGAGAGCCCAGGTCTCACCTTGTCGATGAAGGAGGCGAATTTGTTGTTGAGGGTTTTGATCTGCTCCTTCTCCTCCTTCCGGATCCTTTGGATGTTGGGGTCGATCTCCAGGTTGAGGGGCTTCAGGAGGCTCTGGTTGACGGAGACTTCGTGGATCCCCCCCGCCGGGAACCCGGGGTACCCGTAGCCGAGGTTGGTGGGGACGCCGAAGCCGCCCCCGTAGGCGCTCCCGGCTCCGTAGAAGCTCCCACCCCTTCCAGCCACGGAGATCTTCTTGCACCCGCCGACGTTGTAGAGGCTCTTGCTGCCGAAGCCCCCCCCGACCCTGGCGAAGCCGCTGCCGGCGCCGCAGCCCCCCAGGCGGGTGACGGAGCAGGAGCTGAAGCTGGTCCGGCACGTGCCGGGCACCGCGGCCGAGGCGGCGCTGAAGCCGCTCCGGCCCCGCTGGATCCGCACGGTGGACTGGCGAGACATGGCCCGGCTGGTTTTTGGGATCGGGATCGGGATGGATGCTGCGGCGGGAATAGAGGAGCGGAGGTGCTGGCCCGGAGCGAGGAGTGGGCGGGATGAGGAGAGGGCTGAACCTGTGCCGGGCACGGGCTGGGGAGAGCCCTTTTATGCCGGGCTGGGCTGGGTTGGCTGAGGTGGATCTCCCCTCTGATGAATTCGGCTTGGCATGTCCGACAGCATTCTGCAGGGTGAACTCACCCCGCACACACGCCCTGCTGAGACAATGCAGGCAGGTTCTCAGCAACAGGGATTGTTTGGGAATAACTGTCGCCTTCTCCTGCCTCTGGAGACATCCAGACTCGTCGCCTTCCCCGAGCCTTGGGAGGTGAGGATGAGTCACGTTGGGCACGGGGAGAAAACACCGTTCCGAGCGCCTGTCACTCAACAGCTCTGCCTCGGGAAAACTCCATCCCTCGGGAGTGCTCTCAGCCCTTCCTTTGTTCCCAAGCAGGGCTTGGGAAACCCAGACCCTGGTGCTTCAGGAGAGGGGTCGGTGCCGGGCGGGGAAATGTCTCACGGCCAAGCCTGCAGAGAATTCCCCCTGCAGTAAATTCAATTCCCCCTGCAGTAAATTCAATTTACTCTGCAGAGAATTCAATTCTCCCTGCCCTGAATTCCCCCTGCATTGAATTCACTTTACAGAGAATTCCCCCTGCAGTAAATTCACCCTGCAGTGAATTCAATTTACTCTGCAGAGAATTCAATTCACTCTGCCCTGAATTCCCCCTGCATTGAATTCCCCCTGCAGTAAATTCAATTCACTCTGTAGAGAATTCAATTCACTCTGCATTGAATTCCCCCTGCAGTAAATTCAATTCACTCTGCAGAGAATTCAATTCACTCTGCACTGAATTTTCCCTGCCCTGAATTCCCCCTGCACTGAATCCTCCCTGCAGTAAATTCACTCTGCACTGAATTCAATTCACTCTGCACTGAATTCACTTTGCAGTAAATTCACTTTGCAGTGAATTCAATTCCCTCTGCCCTGAATTCCCCCTGCAGTAAATTCTCTTTGCAGTAAATTCCCCCTGCACTGAACTCCCCCTGCCCTGAATTGTTTTACCCTGGGGGGGTCTCTGAGATGTGATTTGTGATAAAATCCTTGTGGGATTTGCCTGGAGAGGTCAGAGAGGTTGTGGAATCCCCATCCCTGGAAGTGTCCAAGGCCAGGTTGGAACAACCTGCTCCGGGGGAAGGTGGAACTGGGGGGGCTTTCAGGTCCCTCCCAACTCATCCCATCCCATCCCATCCCATCCCATCCCATCCCATCCCATCCCA